CACTTTATATTTATTTTTTATTACAAATATTTGTACTGTAAAAAACACACAAAAGAAATAGTATTTTTCAACTCACCTAATAAAGAGATTGCACTACAATATTTGTATCACAAAAGTGCAACTTACAAATGCAGAATTATGTACAAAAATATAACTTCATTCAAAAGTAAAACAATGTAAAACTTTAAGGCCTACAAGTCCACTCAGTCCTAATTCTTGTTCAGCCAATTGCTCAGACAAACAAGTTTTTCTTACATTTGCAGGAGACAATGCTGCCTGCTTCTTGTTTACAATGTCACCTGAAAGTGAGAACAGGTGTTCGCATGGCACTGTTGTAGCCGGTGTCGCAAGATATTTACGTGCCAGATACACTAAAGATTCATATGTCTCTTCATGCTTCAACCACCATTCCGGAGGACATGCGTCCGTGCTGATGACAGATTCTGCTCGATAACTATCCAAAGCAGTGCGGACTGACACATGTTCATTTTCATCATCTGAGTCAGATACCACCAACAGAAGGCTGATTTTCTTCTTTGGTGGTTTGGGTTCTGTAGTTTCTGTATCAGAGTGTTGCTCTTTTAAGACTTCTGAAAGCATGCTCCACACCTCGTCCCTTTCAGATTTTGGAAGGCACTTCAGATTTTTAAACCTTGGGTCGAGTGCTGTAGCTATCTTTAGAAATCTGATATTGGAATCTTCTTTGTGTTTTGTCAAATCTGCAGTGAAAGTATTCTTAAATCAAACAACATATGCTGGGTTGTCATCCGAGACTACCATAACACAAAACATATGACAGAATGCGGGTTAAACCATGGAGCAGGAGACATACAATTCTCCTCCAACAAGTTGAGTCACAAATTTAATTAACACTTTTTTTTTTTTTAACAAGCATCATCAGCATGGAAGCATGTCCTCTGGAATAGTGGTCGAAGCATGAAGAGGCATATCAATATTTAGCATAGCTGGCACCTAAATACCTTGCAATGTCAGCTACAAAAGTGCCATGCGAACTCCTCTTCTCACTTTCAGGTGACATTGTAAATAAGAAGCGGTCAGCGTTATCTCCCGTAAATGTAAACAAACTTGTTTCTCTTAGCGATTGACTGAACAAGGAGTAGGACTGAGTGAACATGTTGGCTCTAAAGTTTTACATTGTTTTGTTTTTGAGTGCAGTTATGTAACAACAAAAATCTACATTTGTAAATTGCACTTTCATGATAAAGTGATTGCACAGTACTTGTATGAGGTGAATTGAAAAATACTATTTCTTTTGTTTGTCATTTTTACAGTGCAAATATTTGAAATCAAAAGTAATATAAAATGAGCACCTTACACTTTGTATTCTGTGTTGTAACTGAAATCAATATATTTTAAAATGTAGAAAAACATCCAAAAATATTTAATAAATTTCAATTGGTATTCTATTGCTTAGCAGTGCAATTAATCATAATTAATTTTTTAATCGCGATTAATTTTTTTGAATTAATCGTGAGTTAACTGCGATTAATTGACAGCCCTAATTTAATTACAATATATCTATCCAATCAAGCGTTACTCTTTCCACTCAGACCTGTCCATCAAATAATTATTTACAACATAATTCATGATAGCTTGGATATGGACAATGAATTCATCTGATTTGAAAACTGGATAAGGAACCATAGTCAATGAACAAACAGATGCGTGTCAAGTTGTGATGGGGCGAGGAGTAGCATGCCACAGAAATCAGTGTTAAGTAGAGTCTTAATACATTTTTTCCCACAAATACTTGGTTAACTTAGGTTTGATATTGCTCAGGAATATTTCTTCACACCACAAACACCTAAGAGCCAGTAAAACAAAGTAAAGACATACATTCACGCCTACCCTGCCATTATGATACTCAACCATCCAAAAACACTAATACCCTGTCTAACACACTAACTTTCAATTCAACAATATTATCCCTCCCAACGTACACAAAGAAGTGAAAAAATCAGATTTTCAGAAAATTAATTCTGTACTCAAAGAGTAAGTGCTGTAAATTTGGGGAGGATAACCTCTATTATTCACTATGCTTATGCAAACAAAAAACAATGTAAACCATGCTTAATGTGCAAATGTAAATGCAATCTGAACTATGGAGTCACTATTGCATCTCCAAACACTCATTACAGTTAGTCATTTATCATCTCAATTTATAAATCCAACTATCAAAGAATTTAATATATACTTCCCAAGATTGTAGAATTGGCAGATTAGCATAGCACAGTGGTTCTCAAACTTTTGTACTGGTGACCCCTTTTCACATAGCAAGCCTCCGAGTGAGAATCCCGCTTATAAATTAAAAACACTTTTTAATATATTTAACACCATTATAAATGCTGGAGGCAAAGCAGGGATTGGGGTGGAGGCTGATAGCTCGCGACCCCCCCCCCATGTAATAACCTCATGACCCCCTGAGGGGTCCGGACACCCAGTTTGAGAACCCCAGTATCAGATTAGATCACAATGGTGTGGCCCCTCCTGGATTTCAAGGAGACTTCTGTTTGTCTCTCCTCCCCGATTGCAGAAATACAATACTTCGGAAATACTATTCTATTTTTGGTATTATAGTAGCACCCAAAGGCCCCCAAACAAGATTGGAGCCTGCCTATGGCAATAATGTTCATCTTTAGGTATCATCACAGGTAACAACACCATACACGTGAATGGGGTACTTCACATTTTTCCCTGACAAATTTTAGCCAGGATGAGTTTTTACCCCAAGATAAAACAATATATGAAGTTATGTGGGTTTTATTTTGGGGAAGTTAGGGGATTGACAACTGGGTTTATGAAGGGAAACTAGCTTCCATCTGAACTATAGAGCACTAACCATCACTCCACAATGCCCTGTGAATCTAACTTTTACCATAATAATTATTGTCAATATTGAAGACTAAGCAAGCTACCATTTGTGAAACCCTCAGTTCATATGTGCCTCGCATGTATAAATCCCTCACACTCACTTCAGTAAACAACATTTTATATTGGAAAAAATAGTTCAGCAAGATATGATAGACTTAGTGTTTACATGATTAAAAGAAAATGTCTAGAAAAATAAAGTTCACATTTCTATTACTAGTGACCAACGCTTTGCCCATAAGACTGAAAAACTAAAGTAAGTTATTTTAAAGAAAGAGTATGAAATAATGAAACAAATATGCAATAATAAAGCACCAAGGGTAAAATGAATTTATACATAACACAACTATTTTTCAAAATTTTTGCTCTGCTTAGATGCCAGTTTGCCTTCTGGCTACAAACACATTCTTCACACACGCTGGGAATGTTGAGGAAAACTAGTCAGCATTCAGAGGATTAATACAGATTTCCAGCTTTATGCCTTTAGGCTTAATAGTCAGACATCTATTTGTCCTCAGGAGAGGTTAGGGGTTGAAATGCAAATATGCAAACAACAGAATTCTTTGTTAAGATATCAAGAAAAAACTCCATCTCTACTACTGTTTAATAAATCCTTGCAATTCTGTGGATTTATTTAAATTCAGCATTGTGTCTTACTATTTTGAACAAGAAAACAATGCAAGAAAACAAACACATTCATTCTGACTAAAATTTGTTCTCTAGAGGAAAAATGACATACACCCTTGACAGCTTATTTACCAAACTCACTAAAGATTTATTGATTTATCAATCAGTGCCTTGAGCATTTGCTTCTCCCCTAGGGAAAATTAACAATTCCAACTAACCTAATATATTCTACGTATAAACTAAGTGAATGAAAGAATCAATCCTGGCACAATTTACAACATCCAGTAAAAAAAAAAAAAAAAAAATGCTGTCCCTTTTGGTGTATGTAAAATTGAAAGCCATGTTAACGAAGAATAAATGCCTATGTTGCTTACTAATATAAAAAATATTTATTAAGACAGTACAATTGAACCCAACATACATTTTAAATCATTTAAATACTCAGTGGGAGGCAAGTGCATTGGAAAATAAAAAATTGAATGATTTTGCTTCTAGATTAATACTAAGTACTACCGCTATTAGTTGCAATGCTGACATGCCTCAGAGCAGAGATATTTCACAACGTCCTACAAATTCTCTTTTACTCTACCTGTAAAAGTCTAAGCTTGTCAATTAATTACTGATTTGATGAGGTCAGATCAAAGTAAGTATCCTAAAGGAAGAATGTGACAGTCTAAAAATACTTTCCCATTTTAGCAAATAAATAGGAAAAAAGGGCAATATTTTAAAAGGAATTAAAATGCACTTACATCAATGAAACAAAATTAAAATGAAGGTGGGAGGGCGATAAAAGCAGCAAATATAACATTAGCTTTCCACTACAAGTATTAAAAATGTTCAAAACCTAGAACGTACAATAATATTTATAAAAGTTTGAAGGGTATTCAAAATAACAGGCACAGCAGCTCAATAAACCCATGCTACTGGGCTGAACTTCTGCAGCTCCTGACCACTACAGGAACTCAAAGAATGCCCCAAGTTGTGCCACGCAAACAAATCACAACAACAGCAAATAAGGCAATGAAGTTTCTCTCTTCAGTTCTAAAGAACAGAGTTTTCCCTAGGCTTCACACCTGCAGCTGACCTGCACAAGCTTATCTACATACTGCATGCCCTGCTGTCACAATTAGGATCATCTCAACAAGGTACATCTCATATGAGTGTTACAATCTGATTAATAAAAATAGCTGTATTGCACCCTTATGAAAACCTCATCTACATAGCTTCCTTTACTAAAAAAATAATTCATATTCACAAAAGTGATTTGTAAGGTTTATTAAATATTTTTTAAAAATCTGCATTTGGGGGGAAAAAATCTGGCATCTTTCCTTTTTTTAAAAAAAGTTGAACTAAATAAGCAGATTCCCATCCAATCAAAGTGCATGGGAAATCTAGGAATTATTATAAAATACTGCCCTCTGGTGTTAAGCCCATTCTAAATTGTGTGTGTGGGGAAGGGGGTTGTTGTTGTTTTTTGTTTTTACCTGAAAGATCCACCTCCAGGGTCATTCAACTTGTTTTTCTGATTTGCAGAGACCTGAACACCAAAGCCCCCAGGACTTTGGCTGGCTTGTATTGTTGGTGCCTTCCCTACTGTGCCTGAAAAACACCAAGCAATGTTATTATGAGCTGTCTTAGACAATTTACATCAAAGAACCTTCTGTCCAGGAACTAAATTTAACTGTCTCTAAATTGCAAACAAAAGCAAGTTGTTATTTTTAAAGGTTCCATTGCTGAAGAAGAGAGAACGATTTAAAAAATAAAGATGAATATTAACTTTTTTTCAACATTTACTTGTGAAAAAATTGAAGATTCTAACACTGCAAACCATTATTCATAGCTGGCTAAAATATAATTAATGGCAATAAATATGTTTGCGACTACCAGTAAACTGCTCTTCTACATAATCTGCACAGAATAAGCAAACAGGAACTGAAATAACTTATTTTAAAGGATAAGCAAGTGGTACCATCTAAGAGTTTTGGTAAAAATCATGTTTAAAGATATTCAATAATACTGTAGTATTTTGTCTTTGAAATGTAAAATATATTTTCTTATTTTCCTATATAATGGTTCACTTTGTTACAATGAACAACCACACATTTTCAGAGTTAAAAAAACAGTTTGAGTTACTGTTTTACACAGTACATAAAAATACACCTCTACCCCGATATAACGTGACCCAATATAACACGAATTCGGATATAACGCGGTAAAGCAGCGGTCCGGGGGAGCAGGGCTGCGCACTCCGGTGGATCAAAACAAGTTCGATGTAACGCGGTTTCACCTATAACGCGGTAAGATTTTTTGGCTCCTGAGGACAGCGTTATATCGGGGTAGAGGTGTATGTAAAATTTGAAATAAAATCCTATTTAAAGCCCTACACTTATTTTCTCATTTTAAAAAATATTTTGTAAGCAGTTCACTTCTGTATCTATACTATGAAAAAATACTTTCAAATACATAGTTATATAAATCAAAGTAAAGATTTTCAAATGGGCCTAGGTGCACTCAATTCCCATTGAGAGTCAATAGGAATTGGTCATCTAATTCCCATCAGTGCTTTAGAAAATTCCAACCAAAACACATAACAAATTTCTGTTACTAATTAGCAATAAAAATTACCACAAAGCAATAGAGCTCTGGATGATCAATGCAAGGAAACATTATACCAGGGCTTGAATTAAAAAGTTTTGATCAAGTGGAATTTTTACATTTTTAAGTGATACTTTAGTTTACTGCTTATATACTTTATTAGTCACATCTACTCAGGCTATAGGTGGTCTGATTCTCTTTATCGTTCTTCAGTGCAAGCTCTTTTTAGACATGTATAAAATATTAAAAATTAAGGTCTTCTGAATTGATAAATTCTTCCCTTTTTATGCTTACAAATCTCAATGACTATTAATGAGTTACATGCACATGTAAAGAAGACCTTGAGACACCTTCAAAATCATCTGAAAGACCTTGCAGTAGTCTTATGACTCATTTATTATCTGCAAGTGGGCATGCTTTCATGAACCTTTGTGATTTATATTATTTTTTGTTTCATAAGCCCTAAAAACTAAAGCATGATTAGCTGAACTAATAAATTATTTAACAACATATGCTTTTCTGTAACAAAAGGGTTTGCCTTGACTGAGGACAGCATTTTTTTTAATTCTAAGATCTTCGTTCAACTTCAGTCTGAGCTCTCAAGACAAAATTTATTTGACAGTCTTTGTTCAATCCCTCAGTCTACTGTGTATTACAGAAACCTCTGTATGAAGCCTCAATCTTGGAAAATCCACAGTAAGATTTAGGCCATCAGTTTCTAGGCCCAGGGAATGAACATGTATTGTGACATATTGAAGATCCATGAGATGACACAAATAGCATCAGTCCTTTAGCTGGTCAACTCATGTATCTATTTCAGGTAAACTAATTAGAAGACTTTTTATTGAGTGAACTGGAAAGCATGGGATAATGAACGAAATAGAAGAAAAATTAACATAGTTCAGCATGTGCTATTTCTGTTCAGGAGACTCAAAGGGGCATTAATAATAAAAAAGCTGCAATGGCTGTGGCAAGGTGTAACAGATTTAGTGTATACTGTTAAAAATAAAGTAATGAAATAGTAGTAATGTTCATCCAGAATTAATTAGCATCAATAGTTTGATTTTTTCTATGGATGCGAAACTTTGATCCAAGAATATTACAGAAAGTACAGCAATGCAGTAGTCAATCCTTTAGTTTCCTGAAAGCAATCTAAACATATATAAACTGTCATATCTAAACTGTATGTGAGAATTAAATTCCACTTGCCTTCACCCTATGAATATGAATTTTCTCAAATGGATCTGACAGAATGTAATTAAGTATGAGGTTTTAAATCTGGGATGATGTATACCTCCTTTTCTATTTTTAACAGCTACTGTCTGTATATAAGCAACAATTTCCTAGGTTGCGTACTTGGTTGTTGCAAGGCCCAAAGCAAAGCTAGAAACCTTGATAATGATCTCTTTGTTTATTAAGGCAGCCCAACACAATTTGCAATAACTTTTGTAAATTAAAATCAGCTGTTGGACTGGAGACCTCAAGAGACTGATAATGACACACAGAGTCTTTCACCATTAGGTCACAGGTTTAAGTATAGGCAGCAGGGTCTGGAGGAATGAGCCTGAGATTAGTTGTCAGTAAGTGCCTAGTTCTAATCCTGGCGCTGCCAACGATGTGTAGCCTTTGCCAAGCTACTTTACACCCCACTGGCTCAGTTTCCACAGCTGCATGGCCTGGTTTACACTGTTTTTGTACTGGTGTAATTACTTCAGTAAGGGGTGTGAATTTTTACTTAAACAGTTATACCGGTACAACCCCTCATGTGGATGTAGTTATACAACTATAAAAAGATACCTGACAGTCTGCCTACACTGAAAAGTTGTACTGCTTTAACTATACCAGTAAAGTTAAAGCAGCACAAACCCCATTATACCAGGATAAAGATGCTTTGTCCTGCTATACCTATTCCTGTATGGAGAGGGGAATGTGTTATACTGTGTAAGACACCAGCATAACTGTGTTCACATTAGGGGGTTGTACTGTTTTAACAATACTGAGATAGTTAAAGCAGTATAACTTGCATGCAGACAAGCCTGTAAACAGAGATAACAATACTCATCTCACTTAGGGGAGTTTTAAGAATTAATGTTTCTAAATGCTTTGAATGTGTAAAGCTTTATATAAATGCTAAGAATTATTCTTTAGGCAAGATTGTGAATGCCACCTGTTACCACCTCATGGCCAATCAATGGGCTACATGAAATAAATGTGCTTTTTAGCCATAGTTTAACAGAGAGATGTCCACATCATGCAAACTTTCACCACCATTAGCACCACTGTTGGCATTCTCAGCACAGAGGCCAAGCACTGAATGGGCATGGAAATCAAATTAACCTTCTCACATTAAGGTACACCAATCAGGATTCCGAGTGTGAAAGCTTGCATTCTCATTACATATTAAATAATTTTTGTGTTAATAAATTTAGGATCTTAGTGTCAGTGTTGTCAATCCAATACTTCTTTTAAGAAGTAAACTCACTTCAACCCTGACTGGAGAAAGCAGTCCCAAGCATGAAAAGACAGATCAGTCTCCATGCCCAGGCAACCCTTGGCCTCTCTGAAGTGAATGGCCAGTTAGAGTGTCAACTGGTGCTAATCGTAATGGCGGGTTTAGGATGTGTATACTTGCCCATGGACAACAGGAGAGACCAAATTACTCATCAGACAGACAATAATGATTTTAGACATTCCCAATCTAGATTGGATTCAGACTGAAGACCTTAAGATGACAAGCTCTGTATACCATTACAAATACTCAGTTATCTAACTGCCTGCATCCAAAAAGATATTTGACAACTGTAAAGAGAAACAAGGTTAAAGATGGCAAGTAATAAAGGGGTGCTGGGAAACACACACAAGAACTTCTAGGGAGAATAAGGAGGAGAGAATAAGCCAGTCCATTAATCTATCTTTGCACAGCTGTATAGAACATCCAGGTTCAATACCTAGCCTCTTGCACCCCAGATTGTCAGTGGCTAGGCATGCTGCATGCAGCACTCAGTCTCTGGCATCACAAAAAGTGACATTGGTGGCAGATGAAAGGCGTATAGCTGAAAAGTTTCTCAAAGGGGTTCTACCTGGTCCTCTGCAGCTGGAAAGACAGTGGCTACAATGTGTGGCCTCAAGGGGGAGAGATAAAGCAGGGAGATTAAACCAAAGCATTCTCAGGGCTGCATCAGAAAAGTGAAGAAAGTCTTTCCCACACGAGGGGAAAAGGTCATACAATAAAACAGTAAAAACCATATCCCTCACTTCATTCGCACCGTCACACAAGAAACTGCTGAGTGCAACCTGGGCAATTTAGGATGTAGCCTTAAATTAGTAGTTATAAAACAGTTAGCTATATCAGTCTGAAAAATATGTCAAAATTATATAGTGAAAACATGCATTTTCAGCCAGGAAAATGTAAAAGGTAATGTCAAGCCTGCCAATGTCAACGCTCAGTTTTCCCCATGCTACTACTTTGTAATAAAATTACAATTAAATTCATACAAATGTAACATAAGCTCACTAGAACATTTAAACCCATACCTTGTGGTCTAATGGTCTGAGTTATTACCACTGGCATCCTAATCTGGGTAGTCTGGCAAGCAGGGTTTCGTTTCACAGTTTGAGCAGATGTTGACTGGATAATCTGCTATTATTGAAAAAAAGTATACTTATATTATACTTTATACACAAACACACACAGCGTATATATATATTAACATGTATAATTACTAATATAAGCATGTGGGTCTCTAAAGCACAGCCAGCTGGTGACAAAAGTCATATTTAGGAGGGGGTGGTGTGTGTGTGTGTCTGTGTGTGTGTCTGTGTGTGTGTGTGCGCGCGCGCATACTGGTCACTAGTTTCGGTGGTGTTCATCTACAGCCCCAGAGGCTTTTCCCTTTTTTACTATTTTTGTTAGTACACCTCTGCATTTTCAAGTGGTTATGCAAGACTTGCAGTCACGCACGCAAAAATGGGAAACAGGGACTTTTTATAGTCACTGTGTCAGCTTTTATCTTGTGCCATTTATTTTTAAAATCAGAGAATTTTATTGCTACAATTAATCTTGGGCCAAAGCCTATTGCCCTTTTTGAAATTCTCAATTAAGTCAGAACGAGATAAGAACCTTTCAACTTGATCCCTTATAAATAAAAACAGAACAACAAAATCTGCAAGGGTCACGTCTCAATGTTCATAATATCAGGAACAGGATAGCACAGATGTAGAACAGCAGACTGTCGAGTACACGTGGCTTTCTCAGAGGGAGACGAAATCCATAAATAAACTAAAAAATTGCAAGAAAAGTTTAATGATTTTGTATGAGAGAGAGAGAGGGGGGAACTGCATCCACTTTAAAGGACGGTAATGACACAGCCATGATTGGTTGAAGATAAAGCTACACAGACAACTCAGGGTCCTGAAGACATCACAACTCATACAAACTTCACAGTCATGGCTGTATCATTACCATACTTTAAAGTGGAAGCAGTTTCTCTCTCTCTCTCTCATACAAAATCAATAACATTTCCTGCAGGATGACTGTACTACAATTCAGATTGCAACCTAATTTAATATGTTACACAGAGCAAACAGGAAACAATGCATCTTTGTTTGGCTCATCAGCATTATTCTTACGAACTGTACCCCAGAACATCTTAAAACTATACAGGCCAAATCCCAGACTTAAAAAGGAATTTTGCAGGATTATAAATACAGTGAAAATGAGAAATTATGTTTCCAAATTTAGTTTTGAAAATAGATGGAGAAGGAATGGAGGTAGGAAGATAAAGGAAAGGTTTCCATCACCAGAAATTGAACAAAAGATTCCTGCATCATAAGCAGTGAAATCATGGGAAGAGGGAAGGAGATTGGGACTAGTTAAGCAGAGGGAGTGTGAAGAGGAACTGAATGAAACATGGTTGGTGGGGTAGGCTAAAGTAAGACCAGGGAGTTTTCAAAACAAGGGGGGCAATTCTGAATTGTGCCTGAAATTAATGAGGAGCCAGTGGAGGAGTATAAGGATGGGCATGATGTGTGGTCGTGATTCTTTGTACGTGGGAGAAGACAGGCAGCAGCATTCCGTACATGCTGGAATTTGGAGAAGTGGGAGGCCATAGTCAATCTGAGAAGAGACAAAGACATGCATGGATGAGGAGTCATCATAACTGTGTACACAAGCAATGTTACAGAGGTGGGGAAACCAACTTGAAAGAACAGGAAAAGTGGGAGGGAACAAGTTCAGTGAAAAAGGAGGCAGCTACACTTATGGACACAGAAGGGAAAAAGGAGGTCTCTGTTAAGCTGGGAGACAGAGCAGCTGCATGTATTTGGGAATGCTCCTTTTGCCCAAGAGAAACTCTTCACTTCTACCTTTAAAGCATTTGGATGAACCAAGACAGGCAATGAGTGAATAAGGAAGAGTCATTAAAGACAATTATCATCAGAGCATCAGCCAAACTTCAAGGTAGAAAAACACGATCTAGAAGAAAAAGAGGAGCTTGGTAACTGAAAATATTAAGAGAAAGGAGAACTGAATTTGAATGCATCTTGATGCAGAGGAATTACTACTAGACATAGAACAAGTGTGTTTTAATAGGCAGGAAGACAATAGTCCACAATGTCATAGGGTACTCTGATCTAAAAGGCAGAAAAGCTAATTTTCTCAACCACACCTCTCTCTAGTCACCATGCTCACAATATTCTTTCAAACTAAGTTTTACTCTGGTGATAGCAGGTAAACTTCTCCTCTCTATGACGTCAATACCTGTCTTCATTTCCTGATACATTCTACTCTCCGCTGAAATTATGTAAAATGACAGATTTTAAAGAGCTGAGAAGGTTTGATAACAAAGACAAGGCAATTATTGAGAGTGGCTTAACAGAGAGAGAAAGGGTGTGGGACAACAGGAACAATAGGAGTGGAGAAGAGGGTCCAGAGAACAGACAGTTCTCTAAG